TTCTTTGCGGCAAGGATTGCTCGTTGACTTCACCAAGCATAATTCTGATAATTCTCACTAATGTCATTACTCGAATTTTCAATTACGGTGCGTGAAGTTACAGCAATTTGCATTAAGGCACGATGCCATGCAACATTAATTTTCTTAGCTATAAACCTTGCGGAGCCCGAGACCTTTCCGACGAATGCAAAATTGTCGAAATCGATTCGTGCGTTCTGGAGTTATATCGTCAGGAAGGAAAACCCGACTTATTTTTATATATCTTCAGATATTCAACTGAATTTTAATATTTTTTTCAGGTGAAAGGCCTTTTCCCTGTTCCTGGTCAGGTTGCGGCAAAAAATTCGCCAGAAGTGACGAGCTGGCACGTCACACACGCACACACACGGGAGAAAAAAACTTTCCTTGTCCTGTTTGTGACAAAAGGTTCATGCGAAGTGATCACTTAAGGTAAAAAAGTAACACTTGTCATGTAATTAAAATTAATATGTGATATGTGACGACAGCAGCGCCTCTATGCAAAAATGTTCCCAGTTCTTCGCGAACTACGTAGCGATTTGAATGCATAGATACTTATCCACGGATTTATATATCAATTTATACTTCATTATATATTGACTGGCTTCATTATATATGGCCTAATTCTTATAGTTTGCATGGGAATTGGATATATAAATGTATATATTGATTTATACATGATTATATATGTACTAGCTGTCTCAGTGTGTATGGGAATTGGATATATAAATGTATATATTGATTTATACATGATTATATATTTACTAGCTAGTCTCGGTTTGTATGGGAATTGGATATATAAATGTATATATTGATTTATACATGATCATATATATATATATATATACTAGCTGTCCTAATTTGTATGGGAATTTGATATATAAATGTATATATGTATTGATTTATACATGATCATATATATACATATACTAGCTGTCTCAAATTGTTTGGGAATTGGATATATAAATGTATATTGATTTATACATCATTATATATGGCCCAGTCTATGTGGTTTGTATGTAAATTGGATATATAATTGTATATATTGATTTATATATCATTATATATGTACTAGCTAGTGTCGGTTTGTACGGGAATTGGATATATAAATGTATATATTGATTTATACAACATTATATATGACCTAGTGTACTTGGTTTGTATGTAAATTGGATATATAAATGTATATATTGATTTATACATGATTATATATGCCCTAGAGTTTGTGGTTTGTATGGAAATTAGATATGTAAATGTATATATTGATTTATACATGATCATATATATATACTATCTGTATCGGTTTGTATGGGAATTGGATATATAAATGTATATATTGATTTATACATGATCATATATACATTGTCTCATTGTATGGGAATTGCATACATAAATGTATATATTGATTTATACATGATTATATATATAGTATCTGTATCGGTTTGAATGGGAATTGGATATATAAATGTATATATTGATTTATACATGATTATATATATACTAACTGTCTCGGTTTGTATGGGAATTGGATTTATAAATGTATATATTGATTTATACATGATTATATATATATACTAGCTGTTTTAAATTGTTTGGAAATTAGATATTTAAATGTATATATTGATTTATACATCATTATATATGGCCTATTGTATTTGGTTTGTATGTAAATTGGATATATAAATGTATATATTGATTTATACATGATCATATATATACTATCTGTATCGGTTTGTATGGGAATTGGATATATAAATGTATATATTGATTTATACATGATCATATATATACTATCTGTATCGGTTTGTATGTAAATTGGATATATAAATGTATATATTGATTTATACATGATCATATATATACTAGCTGTATCGGTTTGTACGGGAATTGGATATATAAATGTATATTGATTTATACATGATTATATTAGGTTGTCAAATATCTCCCTTCCGCTTTTTTGCATTTGCAATAATACAAAAAGGCGGAAGTGAGATATTTGACAACCTTATATTTACTAGCTAGTCTCGGTTTGTATGGGAATTGGATATATAAATGTATATATTGATTTGTACATGATTATATATATATACTAGCTGTCTCAGTTTGTATGGGAATTGGATATAAAAATGTATATATTAATTTGTACATAATTATATATATACTAGCTGTCCCAGTTGGTATGGGTAATGGATATATATATGAATATATTGATTTATACATGATCATATATATACTGTTTTTTTTTATTATTTCGCTGGCGATACATTCCCATTCTCTGAGCATCTGTAGTATGTGTCTTGCTTATAAAAATAATTTCCAAAAATTATATAGTCAACACGAATAATACAAATTACTTCAATAAACTTACGTTTCTTACACGGCACAGATTTTTCATTTGTTTTATTATTTTCACGCATATAATCAAAGCAATCATACTCACGACGACCAATCACAATCGACCCGTATAGAAATGATATCATCGAGAGCGAATGACTCTTATCTGCCGTAACGCACTTCCGTTACATTTGTACGGATTTACACCCTAGTCGCGCCTAAAGAAGTTTTACTTCAAAAAATGATATATAGTAATTTCAAAATTATTTTAATAATTTGTCTTTTGTCTAATTCTTTGTCTTTTTTTCTAGTAAACATGCAAGACGTCACCCAAACTTCGACCCTTCGGTTTTGCGCCAACGCCGAACGCCCAATCGGGCGTTTTCGGTAAATTCGAGCGAAGGGACGCCCTCCGATGTCCTTTCGGATTATATGCCGAGCCCTTAAGAAGACGAAGAAAATTATAAGGGATGAAAATAAATTTAAAGAACAAGGTACCAAGGGTTTGGTGGTGGTGAGATTTTTGATGGTAAAAATTCAACTTTTAGACCTTAGGTAAAAAAAGAGTGCGCGATTGAAGTAAAACTTTTTTGCTACTGTACAAGATAGGCATTTAAGTTAAAAATAAACACATCATATAACAATTTTGAATAATGTTTATCAATAATATGGTAACACTGGTGATGCACATATTTATTAGTGTCGTCAATCATTATACACATTTATATAATGATAAATTATAAATTATATATTTATGATAGCATTAAAAATATCTATAATATTTGAAAACAATAATTTAATTAAAGTCATATTTCAAATACGACATGATCGGTTTGTCATTGTAATTAGCATAAATGTTGACTTCAATTTTGGAGAAAAGTACTTGGTCTAAAAGTTGGATTTTGACGAGGACATAGAACAAATGGGCTTTACTCTGTATGAGTGCTTTCAGCATATCACAGATGGCGCTAGTGTGCTCTTCAAATTCAGCAAAATCTGTCTAGATATAGTACACGTACTTTAAACGTTCAAGTACCAATTTTATATATTACAACATATACTTTTTGAATAAAAAGAATATTATTATATATTTTTACAACATATTTGTGATTTTGTTGAAAATATATTCTATACGCGTATATTTTGTACTCATTGCATTTGGTCAAACTAATTTGGCTCATCTTTTCTATATTATATATTTATATAAATCTTTTCCTTAAGGGTAAATTGACGTGCTACGGATCGGTGGCGCCATCTACGATATGCTGAAAGAACTAAAATCGATGTAATGTCAAAGCGGCCGTGTTTGCCATCAATTTAAATACTTGTTTATCTATTATCACGATCTTGTACCAAATTACGATTTACGAATAGCTGCTGAAATTTTAGGACAATATTCCAAGAAAAAATGTAAAAAAAATCTCGATATTTTTCTGAAAACCTAAAAGTGTGTATTTTATAATTTTGCTTGTACAATATAGTAGACTTAGGGGGCGATTTTGATACATAAAATAGGGTTGTCATGGTAACGGTATCTTAAGCTTGTTTTTTGTTGGTGGAGCTATGAAAATGTCCATCTATTTTAAAAATCTGTTTTTGCAAAAACTATCATACATAGGCTAGTAAAACCAAAATTGAATTTTAGTTAGTACTTCAAAGTATCAAATATATTTTTTGCAGAATTTTTGCATCACGCTTAGTATTTTTTTAAAATATTTTAAGTATCACCGACGCTGTCTAAAAAATGTCTCTGTCGAGTGAAGTTTGGCGCTTAAGTCGAGATTCAAACCGCAAGGTTAAAATCCTAGATAAAATTTAATTTCATATAACCCTGGATATTGTTCTCCGATACATAATTCTAGTATATGTATATGTAAAGTTTTTTTTTTTTTAAATACTTTACTATATCTTGTATCCCAATCAAACGCAAGTTGGTGCATTTATATTAAAAACATGAATTTCTCAAAAACTATTGCAGCTAAATTTATGAAACTAAAACTATTGGTTAAATCATATTTTGCAATACCACATATATTTTTTGCAGAATTTTTTCATAACGTTAAGTATTTTTAAAAAATATTTTAAGTATCACAAGCGCAAACTGAGCAACAAGTTCTATTGAGTGAAGTTTGACGCTTAAGTCGAGATTCAAACCACAAGGTTTGAATCTCTGATAAATTTGAACTTCATGTAAGCTAGTATATTGGTTCCAAAATATATTTTTTTGTGTTTTTTGTGAAAAAAAATTATATTTTTTAAAAATACTTGACTATACCTTGTACCTATTTGGCTTTTAAAAAATCTATTTTTACAAAAACTATCATACATAGACTGAATTTATTATTAGTTTCAACAGAAAGAATTTGGAAATCTGAAGGATACAAAGGTTTTTGAGGGAATACAAGGTACAATGCAAACCTACGGCAAATAATAATAAATATTGTACAATTTTTCAAAAATAGTAAGGCTTTGAATAAAACAAAAATAAATAGCATTTGTAATATGTATTGATATTATTAAACAATTACATACAACACACTGATTATGAGTAACAAACAGAGTAGTTACTGAAATATATATTAAATAAAGTGCATTTAATATGCGGTATTAATATAAGTCGAGTGATTGTAAAGAATTATAAGGTGGGACAGTTTCTAGACTTATTCAACTAATTAGTTGACTTTTTAATTGCATTTTGTTCTCTAGTATGTTTTCTTTCATGTCGCATTAATACAGGTTTTATTTTGAATGTTTTATTGCATGTCTCACATTCATAAGGTCTTTCTTCAGTATGTACTATTTTATGTTGAGTTAATGTTTTTTTTGTTTTGAATGTCTTATTGCATGTCTCACATTCATAGGGTCGTTCTTCAGTATGCACTGATGAATGCCTTCTTAAATGACTTATCAGTGCAAATCTCTTATTGCATATTTTGCATTCATGAGGCCGTTCTCCAGTATGGATCGTTTCATGTCGGATTAAACTTTCTTTCGTTGTGAATGTTTTATTGCATATTTCGCACTCATAAGAACGTTCTCCAGTGTGGATCACTTTATGTTTATTTAAGATTTGTTTCAATCTGAATTTTTCATTACATATTTCGCAAATATGAGGACGTTCACCAGTATGAATTGATGAATGTTGCCTTAAACTACTTGACCGTAAAAATCTTTTATTGCATATTTTGCACTCATAAGGCTGTTCTCCAGTGTGGATCACTGTATGTTTATTTAAGTTTTCTTTTGTTTTGAATTTTCTATTGCATATTTCACAGATATACGGGCATTCTTCAGTATGCACTGATAAATGTTTTCTTAAATTACTTAACCATAAAAATCTTTTATTGCATATTTTGCACTCATGAGGACGTTCCCCAGTGTGAATCATTTCATGTTGTTGTAAGCTTTGTTTTGTTGTGAATGTTTTATTGCATGATTCACATTTTATACGGTTTCAAGTTATTAGTTGTTTCACTTTTTCCTGAAACTTCTTCAAATGATTTGTTCGTGCTATCCACTGAATTACTTGATTCACTGATCTTTTCATCACACATATATGAATTTTTATCTGAAACTGTTTTGTTTGTACTAGTCAAGTCATGTTGGTCATCAATCGTCTCTTGCTTTATTTCCTCGTCAATTGTAACCTCAGATTTTAAAAATTGCTGCCGACATATATCATCATCCATATACAAATCTGATGTACTTTCACAATCATCAAATTCCTGTTTCACTTGAGGATAATCATCGATCGGTTCGGTTTTAATTGTTTTGTTAAAAATTGTTTCTTCAGACATGTTTGAGGTTAGTTTGGTTACAATAGACTAATTGGTGATGAAATGTTAAAAATTGAGAGGTCTAAGTGTATAATAATATATGTGTTACAATATTTACTAACTCGTTTATTGTTTAATAGGATATAATGCTAACACTGACCTTTTTACTAAATTTATCTTCGAACTTAACTTTAACAATTTTTCAAACAACTTTGACAATTTTCCTCCATATTTGTTTTATAAACACGTGATCAGTTTGGACAACATTAGGCACATTTCAAATGCGAGTTTTTCGGCGGCAAAATTTGAAATCCGAAATTATTATTAGTTTCAACAAAAAACATAAAATCCTTTGGTAAAATTAATTTAGAGTAAATTAAAAAGTAATTTTTATATTAATTACAGAAACAACGTGCGAACCATATGCGAACCACAAACTTTAATACAAAATGGCGAATGGCAAATCTAAGCGATCAATTTTGACGTTTTACATATTTTGAAGCTAGTAGCGACATTTTTTTTTCGCTAAAAATAGTAGTCCTTTCCAAAACAGGGTAATATACATTTATTCGGAGATAACTCCCTATGGCGTTGGTGATGCTTAAAATATTTTTAAAAAATACTAAGCGTGATGCAAAAATTCTGCAAAAAATATATTTTGTATTTTAAAATATTAGCTAAAAATTACTTTTAAATCTACTCTAAATTAATTTTACCAAAGGATTTTATGTTTTTTGTTGAAACTAATAATAATTTCGGATTTCAAATTTTGCCGCCGAAAAACTCGCATTTAAAATGTGCTCAATGTTGTCCAACCTGATCATGTGTTTATAAAACAAATATGGCGGAAAAATGTCAAAGTGGTTTGAGGAATTATTAAAGTTAAATTCGAAGATAAATTTAGTAAAAAGGTCAGTGCTAGCATTATATTCTATTAAACAATAAACGAATTAGTAAATATCGAAACATACTTATTATTATACACTTAGACTTCTCAATCTTTAACATTTCATCACCAATTAGTCTATTGTAACCAAACTAACCTCAAACATGTCTGAAGCAACACTTTTTAACAAAACAATTAAAACCGAACCGATCGATGATTATCCTCAAGTGAAACAGGAATTTGATGATTGTGAAAATACATCAGATTTGTATATGGATGATGATATATGTCGGCAGCAATTTTTAAAATCTGAGGTTACAATTGACGAGGAAATAAAACAAGAGACGATTGATGACCAAGATCATGTGACTAGTGTTTCAGATAAAAATTCTTATATGTGTGATGAAAAGATCAGTGAATCAAGTAATTTTGTGGAGAGCACAAACAAATCATTTGAAGAAGTTTCAGGAAAAAGTGAAACAACTAATAACTTGAAACCGTATAAATGTGAATCATGCAATAAAACATTCACAACAAAACAAAGCTTACAACAACATGAAATGATTCACACTGGGGAACGTCCTCATGAGTGCAAAATATGCAATAAAAGATTTTTATGGTTAAGTAATTTAAGAAAACATTTATCAGTGCATACTGAAGAATGCCCGTATATCTGTGAAATATGCAATAGAAAATTCAAAACAAAAGAAAACTTAAATAAACATAAAGTGATCCATACTGGAGAACGGCCTCATGAGTGCAAAATATGCAATAAAACATTCACAGCAAAAAAAAGTTTAATCCGACATGAAAAGATCCATACTGGAGAACTGCCTCATGAGTGCAAAATATGCAATAAAAGATTTGCACTAATGAGTAATTTAAGAAAGCATTCATCAGTGCATACTGAAGAACGACCCTATGAATGTGAGACATGCAATAAAAAATTCAAAACAAAAGCTATATTAATGCAACATAAAAGAAGATATACTAGAGAATCGGCCTAGAAACGGTCCCACCTTATAATTCTATACAATCACTCGACTTATATTAATACCGCATTTAAAAACAATTTATTTAATATATATTTCAGTCACAACTCTGTTTGTTACTCATAATCAGTCTATTGTATGTAGTTGTTTAATAATATCAATACATATTACAAATGCTATTTATTTTTGTTTTATTCAAAGCCTTACCATTTTTGAAAAATTGTACAATATTTATTATTATTTGCCGTAGGTTTTGTAATGTACCTTGTATTCCCTCAAAAACCTTTGTATCTTCAGATTTCGAAATTCTTTCTGTTGAAACTAATTATAAATTCAGTCTATGTATGATACTTATATGTATGTTTACTTATCTATGACCAATGCTGTGTAAAAAATGTCTCTGTCGTGAAGTTTTGCACTTAAGTCGAGATTCAAACCACAAGGTTTGAATCTCGGATAAATTTGAACTTTATGTAAGCTAGCATATTTGTCTCCAATAAATATTTTTGTGTTTTTTGTGCAAAATTTTCATATTTTTCAAAAATACTTGACTCTATCTTGTATCTACACCACACACAAGTTGTTGCATTTGGTTTTTAAAAATTAGTTTTTGCAAAAACTATTATAGTTAGACTAATAAATCCAAAACTGGTATTTAGCTAATATTTTGTAGTACCACATATATTTTTTGTAGAATTTTTGCATCACGCTTAGTATTTAAAAAAAATGTTTTAAGCATCACCAACGCTGCCTAAAAAATGTCTTTGTTGTGAAGTTTGGCACTTAAGTCAAGATTCAAATCACAAGGTTTGAATCTCGGATAAATTTGAACTTTATGTAAGCTAGTATATTTGTCTCCAATATATATTTTTGTGTTTTTTGTGCAAAATTTTTTATATTTTTTAAAAATACTTTACTAAATCGTGTACCTACACCACACACAAGTTGATGCATTTGGTTTTTAAAAATTAGTTTTTGCAAAAACTATCATACATAGACTAGTAAAACTAAAACTAATTTTTAGCTAATATTTTAAAATACTAAATATATTTTTTACAGAATTTTTGCATCACTCTTAGTATTTTTAAAAAATATTTCAAGTATCACAAGCACAAACTGAGCAACAGATTCTGTTGAGTGAAGTTTGACGCTTAAGTCGAGATTCAAACCACAAGAATAAATCCTAGATAAATTTTAAGTTTTTGTAAGCTAACACATTTTCTAAAATATATTTTTGTCTATTATTTTTGTGCGAGTTTCGATATTTTTTAAAAATACTTTACTACATCTTGTGTTTACACCAAACACAAGTTGGTTTATCTATATTAAAAACATTAATTTCTCAAAAACTATTGCAGCTACGTTTATGAAACCAAAACTATTAGTTAAATAATATTTTGTAATACCACATAATTTTTTTGTAGAATTTTTGCACAAGGTTTAGTATTTTTAAAAAATATTTTAAGCATCACCAACGCTGTCTAAAAAATGACTCTGTCGAGTGAAGTTTGACGCTTAAGTGGAGATTTAAACCGAAATTTTCACAGTTTTACTAACAAGAAACAAGCATAAGATAACGTTGCCATGACAAAGCTATTTTATGAGGTAAAATTTTAACTTTTAGCGATTACGGGGTCACCAATTGGTGACTTCGACCTTAATTTTGCGCACCATGATAATCACGATATCAAATTAGAAGTAGAAGGTGAAAATTTAGGATTTACTTTGTATATATTAGTGGAATTAATAGTGGACATGAAATTTTAGTTAAAAAAAATAGTATAGTTCATATTACCATCTCATATGTATATATAATTCATTTATTATTAGGAACAATCTATTTTTCAAAACCAAAAAATTAATAACTCGAACACAATCTTCTTGTTGTCTAGCAGCTGCCTTTTATCCCAAAATAAAAAAAATTAAAATTAACTAAAATAATAAAATAAATTTATTAGCTTCATGATAAAATTTTAATGAAACGATTTGTATAATTAAAATAATGTTTGGCATATCTGAATACGATCATATCGTCTGAATTAAATATAATACAAAATAAACTTCTTGATGCTTTAGTGAACAAAAATGCTTAATTGTAAAAGAAAATTAAAGTAAAAAAATATTTTACTTACCTAAATTGTAACTAAAATTTTACTAAAGTATAAAAATTGATGTTGAGATACTTGTCCAATTTTTTTTGTATTAAAATTTGTGAATTTACACGAACTTCTTGGTTTTTATTTAGTGCAATAGTGAAAATGTTTATCCATTTGCCGTGCGGTCAGGCGTATTTTACATATAAGTAAACAAGGAACTAGTGGTTTATGGCATCGTGCCTTAAGGCAAATTGCTGGTACTTCCCGTACCGTAATGAAATATTCGAGAAATTTTAAACGTTTTCAAATATATTATTACAAATACTCTGTGACTTTCATTATTTTTGCTATCTTGTTTATTATATCTGAGCAAATCAAATGTAAATCATAAATCAATTATTACATTAACAATCGTCATTTCATTTCGAATTCAATTTAAAAAAAAAAATAGTTGCCTAATTTACACAAAATTGAAAAAGTGCTCCCGCATAGTCACAGTCTGAACGCATTTGCAAATAATTCTGTGCGATATTTTCACTTATACTGTGCTCAGCTTGGCGGCATTTTCGCATTTTTCAATAGTTTTCACAAAATTGGAAAAGTGCTCCAGTGCATAAACAGTCTAAACGCACTTGGGTAAACATTTGTACCGGAGTGGCGCTTAGACTGTGCTTAGCCTGAGGAATTTTTTTGCCTTTGTGTTTCAAGGGTTTCTGAACATTTTGGCATACCTTAGAAAAAATGTAAAAAAATGATATTTAGCTGTCTAAAATGATCATTAGACATATGCATATAAAAGAATCAGTTATTTTATAAAGACTTTAAACATGTTTACTAATTTTGTTACAATTTTTAGGGTTCTGTACCAAGATGTTTAATTTCAATAGTTCACTTATACGGTTCAAACATATTTTAAAATCTCCAGCATTTTTTTTTCAAAATTTTCAAAACTATACATAATTTTATACTCTTAAAAATGTACATTTTTCATAGGCGTTGTTGTAGTCGTACGAAATGTATTCTCAGATGGATTCATTCGGCATCTCTTGTTAATGTAAACATTTTTAAGTGTTTTAAGCGATAAAATTGTCACTATATGTTATACGAACGAATACAGTAATTATAATTATATCTTAATAATAATATAAATAAATAAATATCATAATTAAATATTTAAAACAACTATTAATCATTGATCAATATTTATAGATTTTTTTATTAAATATTTAATTGTATTACGGAAAGTTTGTCTTAACGCACGATGCCATGCACCACTAGTAAAATAATTGTATTGGCTTCTAGCTTGAATAAAAACTAGTGGTGTACGACATCGTGCCTTAAGACAAATTGCTGGAACTTCCCGTACCGTAATGAAATATTCAAGAAATTATAAACGTTTTCAAATATATTATTGCAAATATTTGCTATCTTATTGTTATATCTGAGCAAATCAAATGTAAAAATCATAAATCAATTCAATTTCAAAAAAAAAAAAATAGTTGCCAAATTTGCACAAAATTGAAAAAGTGCTCCCATGTAGTCACAGTCTAAACGCATTTGCAAACTAGTGGGGTGGGTGGCATCGTGCCTTAAGGCAAATTGCTGGAACTTCCCGTACCGTAACGAAACGTTCGAGGAATATTGAATGTTTTCAAATAGATTATTTATTGTGTAACAATGCATTTCGTGCGGGTTTAATAAATAATCAAAGTGCAAGGCCAGCGCACGAATGCGGAAGTACACATATGTCACGTCCTATACTAAATAAATAGAGTAGTTATCGTCCAGCAAAGGCAGTGATGTCTTAGTCAAAAGTCTAGCCATAATGTCTTAGAGTATGTCTTAGCCCGAATCTATGCTAGTTTGTGATGTGAAGTTATTAAAGATTAAATAAAGTTATAGTCGAAATTAGATTCAGTGTTTGTATTCTACTTTGCGTAAAGACATCTTTCAGCCTATACCAATATAAGGTGCTCACGGTTCTGAGGAGACTCATACCAGTGTTGTTATTTTCTATTATAAACTCTAAGCTCTGCCCACGACACCAGAACAAGGTTGGACTGATCTAGCACCCCTTGGAGAGTGGATCAATCTACATTTGGAGCCCAACCCAATCCAATCAACCCTACAACAACAACTCATAACATTTCATATTATAAATATTGTATTATTGTCTAATATTTATAAGAATTATATAAACTGAATTGCAGAGTTGAAATTATTTGTTTAAAGTATATTAGAACTATAGTCAGAATTAAAAATAAAATCTGAATTATTTTCGATATACAAAAAATTTTAAAAAAAAAATTGTGCAAAAATTTTTTTTTCCAAAATCAATTATTTTGTTAAGACAAGCAGAAAGTTCTTTGAATCAATTGAATCGGACGCTTAGTTCTCTCAAAAACTGCCATTTTTTGTACATTTAGCTCTGTATCTCCGAAATGGCTGGGCCTGCCTTTGCGAAAAACTAATAACCCTTTCTCCCAATCATTACTAATGGAATGTTTTTTAGATAATTCAAATCGGATGCTCCGTTCTCTCAAAAACTCGATTTCTATTTTCTGCACTCTTTGCTCCTTATCTCCGTAACTGCTGGACCTGTCTTTGCCAAAAACTAATCAGCTCTTCTCCTTATTAATAGGAATCGAATGTTTTTTAAACCATTCAAATCGGTTGATCCGTACGCCCGAAAACGTGGACGAAAATTTGTATCCATACATACATACACACACACACACACACACACACACACATCCATTTTTTCTGAGGTATGCCAAAACGTTCAGAAACCTTCAAAACGTCGAGAAATGTAAAAATTTTCAATTCCGATTTTCGGCCCATTACAATAACTTACCCTACGGGAAGTTAATAATTCTGTGCGACTTTTTCACTTATACCGTGCTTAGCTTGGCGGCATTTTCACATTTTTCAATAGTTTTCACAAAATTGGAAAAGTGCTCCAATACATAAACAGTCTAAACGCACTCAGGTAAACATTTGTACTAGAGTGGCGCTTAGACTGTGCTTAGCCTGGGTGATTTTTTCAATTTTCAATCCAAAATTACAAAAATATTTTTTGAAAAAAAAAATTAGAAACAAAAATGTTTTTTTTCCAAAAGCAATTATTTTGTTGAAACAAGCAGAAAGTTCTTTGAATCATTTAAATCGGACGCTTAGTTCTCTCAAAAACTGTCATTTTTTTAACACTTAGCTCTGTATCTCCGAGGTCGCTAGGCCTACTTTTGCCAAAAACTAATAACCACTTTTCCCCGCCATTACGAACTGAACGTTTTTTGGATCATACAAATCCGATACTCCGTTCTGTCAAAAACTTGATTTGTATTTTCTGCACTTTTTGCTTCATATCTCCGTAACGGCTGGACCTGCCGTTGCCAAAAACTAATCAGCACATCTCCCTTTCAATAGGAATCGAATGGTAAATGAATCATTCAAATTGGTTGATCCGTGCGCCCGAAATCGTCGACAGAAAATTTTGTATCCGCACACACCACACATACATCCATTTAGTTTCTGAGGTATGCCCTTTAAAAATGTTCAGAAACCTTCAAAACGTCGAGAAATGCAAAAATTTTCATTTTCGATTTTCAGCCCATTACTATAACTACCCTACGGGAAGTTAATAATGCAATTCCTTGTTTATTTATATATAAAATGCGCCTGATCGCACAGAAAATAGATATACATTTTCACAGTTTCACTAACAAGAAACAAGCATAATTTTATTAAACCTGCAAAATTAGACAAGTATCTTTAACAAAGTGGTTTAATTTATTTTCCTAAACCTAAATCTAAAACCTGAATCTTAATAAAAGTTGGAGTGGACCATCCTGGGCACCAAATTTTAATTTCTAACCTGCATAGTAAAATTTCTGCAAACCTTGCCTAACACTGCTTTTAACCTCTTAACTAACTTTAAACAAAAAACTTGTATAAAAATAATAAAAATAGAATATATATATATATATATATATATATATATATATATACAACAAGTATTATTAAATAATAAATATTAAATATAAATTATATAAATTAAATAATTAGAATATAGTATTTAGAAAATTAATGTGAAAGCAATAAGTCGATATATTATAATATAAGAACGTTTTTAATGATTACATTTTGTGCGGCGCGAGTTATAGCGATAGAAGCGCAGCGTTGCCATCTAACGTAAGTGACTTGCGTGATAAGGCTACGATTTTAAATTTAAATTCGTTTTTCTCGAAAACTATTATAGGTAGAAACGTGAAATTAAAACTATTGTTAGATGATGTATTGTTTTATGCGATATATTTTTTGTAGGATTTTTATGTTGTGTATAGTATTTTTAAAAAATACTTTAGTATACAAATAGTGTTATAAATGAAATGACTTTGCGCAGTTTTTGTTCTAAAACAAAATCTGTGAAACTGTACATTAGTTATCATTTAATCTTAGCTAAAATTTAAATTAATATTTAATATTTTCATAAAACTTTTCGACTTTTTTTCAGTCATTTTATAATTGTTTAGTATTTTTTCAAAATTAATTTAGTATAAATAGTGTTATAAATGAAATGACTTTGTGCAGATTTTGTTCTAAAACAAAATCTGTGAAACTGTACGTTAGTTAATATTTAATCTGTAAATTTTAAGTAATATTTAAATTAATATTTGATATATTTTTTAAAAAAATTGCATTATTTTAGCAATTTTAATAATTATTTTGTCTAAGTTTGAAAAATTCTAATAATTTTAAAAAAGTTGTTTTTTTGTGATAGTTGTGTTTATAAAACATTTCTGTTAAAAATATATTTTGAGCAATATTTAGTAAGGATTGTAACTAAGTTAATAAGTATCTAGTTAATATTACAACCGAGTATTATTTGTTAAGATTACAACCAAACGAACACGTTTTTGTCGAAAGGTGCTAAAACAACTATTTGTTTTAAAATAATTTTTCTTCAAATTTATACTAGTTATACTTATAAAACTAATGTTTTTTCTAGCTAATATATGATTTTGCAAAATGTGCTGAATTTAACATTTTTCAAAAATACTTTGATTTATCTAGTATCATAACCCGAAGCAATTGGGGTAATGTTTCTATCTAAGTTGGTGTGCATTTCGTTTTAAAAGTGTGTTTTATCCCGAAAACTATTATAGTTATGTTTATGAAACTAAAACTAGTTTTTAGCTAATACTTTGCAGTACCAAATATCTTTTTTGCAGATTTTTTGCATCACGTTTAGTATTTTTAAAAAATATTTCAAGTATGGCAAGCGTAAACTGAGCATGAGGTTCTGTTGTGAAGTTTGATGCTTAAGTCGAGATTTAAACCATAAGGTGTAAATGCTAGATAAATTTTAACTCTACATGAGTTTACATATTGTTTTTTAACACATTTTTTGTGTACTTATGTGCAAAATTTTAATATTTTTTATAAATACTTCACTTTATCTTGTTCCTTCGCTACCCCAAGTTGGTGCATTTGGTTTTTAAAAATTTGATTTTACAAAAACTATTATATAAAAACTAGTAAAACCAAAACTAGTTTTTAGCTAATACATATTTTAAAATACCAAATATATTTTTTGCAGAATTTTTGCATCACGTTTGGTATTTTTAAAAAATATTTTAAGCATCACCTACGCTGTCTAACAAAATGTCTGTTGTGTGAAGTTTGACGCTTAAGTCGAGATTCAAACCACAAGATATAAATCTTAAATAAATTTAAATAAAATAGCTTTATTTAAACTAACACATTGGTCTCTATTATATATTTTTTGTGAATTTTGGTGCAAAATATAAATATTTTTTAAAAATACTTCACTCAATCTTGTACCTACACTAAACACAAGTTGGTGCATTTGCTTATAAAACAATTTATTTCGCAAAACTATAATAGCTAAAATTATGAAACCAAAACTATTAGTTAGCTAATATTTTAAAGAACCAAATATATTTTTTGCAGAATTTTCACACGACGTTAAAAATTTAAAAAAAATATTTTAAACATCACGAGCACAAAATGGACTATAGTCTCTGTCGCGTGAAGTTGTACGCTTAAGTCGAGATACAAACCACTAGCAAAACTTTTTTTGACATTTTTAATTTCTTTTGACATAAAGATTTTTTATTTTTATTAAAAGTATTACAATAGATTTGAAAAATCACACGCGAATTTAATATAATATTAAAATAGAATCGTCAAATCGTCATCAACGTCAATGACGATTAAAATCTGCACTCTATGTAGATCGTCTTATTAGAATAATAATCTATTCCTGACAATATATTCAATATTAAACTATTAATAATATATTATAGTATTATAAAAATATTTATGATATATACATATATACATATATATATATTTATTTATGTTAACAAATATATAAATAAATGAATGAAATTAATTTTTAGCATTGTACATACACGCATATTGTAAATATACATAAATATAAATTATATTTATAAAGTAAAAATATATATCAGACGTAGACTGTAAGATATTATATGGTAGTTAAATTTCTAATTAAAATTATTAAATTGATTTAAAATACGGTGGCGCCATCTGTTGACGTCTTCGAGATTCAAATTTATTTATTTTCCAACAAAATTTTGTTCCTAGTTTATTAATATTTTTGAAAAAATTGCTTAAAAAATAATAATTATAATGTTTATAATAATTTAAATTAATAAGTATTTCATTTAAACAAATAAAAATAACACGAACAAAGGTTTGTGTCAATGCTGTCAACAGTAGCGCCATCTATGGACATATTTATGTTATTATGTTTAACATATTTGTTTATAAATATGTTTTATGCATTTTCGACTCGTTTTTGTTACTTATTATTACTATTTAGCAAACAATATAGTCAATATAATATAAATATTAAATATTAAAAATATAAAATTATATCACGTGTTATTATTATTAATCGAAATCGTAAAATGCAATGCAAGTGGAAGAAGAGATATTGTAATTATAATAATATTTTAAAGAACAAACAATTAATGTATAGACGGAAATATAATATAATAAAACAAAATTGTAATGGAGGAATGTTTTTGTAATTTTTTGTTTTTGTTTTATGTTTTACAGATTGAGGATGTTCAAGGCTTAAAAGTGTTTGTGCATAATGAAGTTTTACTTGGAATTACAGATGTGGATCTAGGAAGACTTCAAGTAATTTTCTTTACATTTTTTTTCTTTACTTTTTACTAACTTTTAAATAACATTAAACTCTTTTTTAACAACTAACTTTTATTATTTGTATTATAATTTGTTATATTTATTTTTAATTATGTTAATTTGATTAAGGGTGTGTTTCTTAGGGTCTAAACCTTAAAATAATTTTGTACTAACCTTGTAAACGTGGTTAGGATGGACGTCTTTACGTGTGTGTGCTCAAACAATCAGAAATATGTGTTTGTTTCTGCTAACCACTGTTATATTCAATGGGCTCTGCAGGACGTACCGTTTGTACTACAACCCTAAAATTTTTGTATGTTATTTCTGAAAGTGTCTTTTGTGACCTTAGATACTAAAATTGATGTTTTTATAATAAATACGTGAAGTATAAATGTTTTCCCAAACAAATTCCACGGCTTGTACCTTATTGATAAGAAGTAGTGTATAGTTTTAAAGAGCTCCTCAGGTCGTACCGTTTGTACTACAACTCCAAAATTTTTGTATATTATTTCTGAAAGTGCCTTCTATGACCTTAGATACTAACATTATTATTTTTCATAGAAATACGTGATGTATATATGTCTAGGTGAACAAAGCCCACGAGTTGTACCTTGTTGATAAGAAGCATTGTCTAGTTTTAAAGAGCTTCTCAGGTCGTACTGTTTGTACTACAGTATTGTAAGTTAAGTATGTTATTTCTTCAAATATTTTTCATTGCATAATATAATAAAATTTACACTTCTGTAACAAATTTGCTAGATATAATGTTTTTATTGAACATAGTAATCGACTTGTACCTTGTTGGTAAGAAGTATTGTATAGTTTCAAAGAGCTCTTCAGGTCGTACGGTTTGTACTACTATAATGTAAATGCGACATATTATTTATTACTTTATATATTATGTCACTGAGTACTAAAATTTATGTTGTTTCAAACAAAATTGTTAAATACAATTACTTTTTTGAATAAAGTGTTTGACTTGTACCTTGTTGATAAGAAGCATTGACTAGTTTTAAAAAGCTCCTCAGGTCGTACCGTTTGTACTACATTGTTGTAAATTGAGTGTTTATGCGGTGAAATATCTTTTGTGACATCCTGTACTAAATTTATTATATCTATTGCAAAATTGTTATGTATAATAATTTTTCTGAACACAGTACACGACTTGTACCTTGTTGATAAGAAGCATTGTCTAGTTTTAGAGAGCTCTTCAGGTCGCACCGTTTGTACGACACCCTAACAAATTATAAATACCTTTCCTTAAATCATATATTACAACAACCACATATGATAAATAAAATATATTACAAATTTACCTGTATGTGACAAATCAAAAACTACAAACTACAAAATTAAATAATTATTTTGTATTAAAATAATTATATAAATTTGCCAGGAGGTGGTTCATAAAACTGTCTATCAATAGGGGTAGTAAAAGTGTTGCTTTTTCTGAAAGGGTCTCTCAAGTTGCCTCCGGTGACTCCGGTAATATTCCCGGATTTTTTGTTTTGCATCCAGAAAGTCGTCTGGTTGGAATTGTAGAGTGGATATTTCAGGAACAACTAGAATAGAAAAAATAATAATAATTATTATTCATTAATAACAAGTGGCGACCCTAGTGTCGCACATCAGCACTTATTAAAATGGTTCGTTACTTTGATAGTGCGCGTCTGCGCTATATTTTTTATATACGTGATGCATAAATGCAATTCTGAACAGAGGTTACCACTTCAGGTCGCACTGTTTGTACTAAGTCTCCGTAATTTTTTTATGACATTTCTGAAAGTGTTTTTTATGACGTCAAATACCAAAATTTATGGTTTTGTAATGAGTTTTTGATGTATAAATGTTTTTCTTAACAAAGTCCACCACTTGTACCTTGTTGATAGGAAGTATTCAAGTATTGTTTAATTTTAAAGAGCTCCTCAGGTCGCACCGTTTGTATTAAATCCCCGTAATTTTTTATGATATTTTTGAAAATGTTTTTAATAGCGTCGAATACTAAAATTAATGTTTTTGGAACAAATAAGCGATGTATAAATGCTTTTCTGGACAAAGTCTGCGGTTTGTACCTTAGTGATGAGAAGCATTGTTTAGTTTTAAAGAGCTCCTCAGGTCGTACTGTTTGTACTACACCCCTGTAATTTTTGTATGATACTTCTAGAAGAGTCTTTCATGATGTAAAATACTAAAATTGATGCTTTTAGAATAAATACGTGATGTATAAATGTTTTTTTGAACAAAGTCCAATAGTTGTACCTTGTTGATAAGAAGCATTGACTACTTTCAAAGAGCTCTTCGGGTCGCACCGATTGTACTACCATATTGTAAATGAGATATATCGTTCCTCATAATATTCTTTATGTCACTGAGTAATAAAAATAATTTTATTTTAACAAAATTGTTAAATATAATGTTTTTTTTAACATAGTACCAAGCTTGTACCTTGTTGATAAGTAGCATTGCCCACTTTCAAAGAGCTCCTCAGGTCGTACTGTTTGCACTAGTATTTTGTAAATGACATATATTATTCCTTACATTATTTTTTGTGTCATTGAGTAATAAAATTTAAATTGTTTTTAACAAAATTATTGAATATATAGATTTATCTGAACATACTACTTGGCTTGTACCTTGTTGATAAGTAGCGTTGCCTACTTTCAAAGAGCTTCTCAGGTCATACCGTTTGCACTACTATGTTGTAAATGAGATATATTATTCCTTACATTATTCTCTATGTCATTCGGTAATAAAATTTATTTTGTTTCAACAAAATTGTTGAATATATAGATTTATCTGAACATAATACTCGGCTTGTACCTTGTTGATAGGAAGCATTGTATAGTTTTAAAGAGCTGTTCAGGTCGTACCGTTTGTACTCTATGTTGTAAATGACATATATTATTTATTACATTCTTTTTAATGCTATTGAGTAAAAAAAATAGTTTGTTAGAACAAAATTGTTGGATATAATGGGTTTTTGTAACATAATAACAGGCTTGTACCTTCTTGATAAGTAGCGTTGTCTACTTTTAGAGAGCTCCTCAGGTTACACCGTTTGCACTACTATATTACAAATTGAGTATAAAATCTCCACAAGTGTCTTTTATAGCACCATGTACTAAAATATATGTTTTCAAAACAAAATTGTTAAATATAAATGCTTTTCTGAACAAATTACCCCACTTGTACCTTGTTGATAAGAAGCATTGTCTACTTTCAGAGAGCTCCTCAGGTCGTACCGTTTGTACTACGATATTGTAAATGAGATATATAATTCGTTACATTATTTTTCATGTCATTGAGTAAAAAAATAGTTTGTTGGAACAAAATTGTTGGATATAATGATTTATCTGAACATAGTACTCGGCTTGTACCTTGGTGATAAGAAGCATTATCTACTTTCCAAGAGCTCCTCAGGTCGCACCGTTTGCACGACGATATTGCAAATGAAATATATTATTCCTTACATTCTTTCTAATGTTATTGAGTGAAAAAAAATATTTTGTTCTAACGAAATTGTTGAATATAATGTTTTTTTTAACACAGTACCAGGCTTGTACCACGTTGATAACAAGCATTGTCTACTTTCAAAGAGCTCTTCAGGTCGCACCGTTTGCACAACCATGTCGTAACCGAGATATATTATTCTTTAAACCACCAGTATTATTTATAAAAATAAATTTGACTACTCACGTCTTCTTTATCCCCGAAATCTTTATAAGGCGACTTCAACTTCTTAACAAGCTCCTCCTTCTCAGGTGTAACCTGCAAACTTCCATAGTCAAAATCGATGTTATAAGAGGTTCTGTAGGGTTCTATGACAGGTCTCATTTTTAAACGCTCTATGGCCTGTTTAGATAACTCTTTGTATAGAAAAGCTTGAACCAACTCACGACGTCTACCTAAAAAAAAAAACAAAAAAAAAAATAATAATACATTTATTATTTTCTTATTTTTATTTTTTGTTATTACTTGCCTATTGGTGCATCGTAAACTTTGGGTGCCACATAAGACTGTTTGGTGACAGATGAGGGCAAAGGGTCAGATTTTTTGACAAGAGCGTCCTTCAAAATCCAGTCTCGGCTGTCGTTGGGGTATTTTTGTTCCCAGCATTCGTCGGGGATTCCTTCGTCTTTGTCTTCGATTTTGGGAAGTTCTTCGCAATCTTTTCGTTCGCAATTATCAGACTCCATGATAACTAGAAATATATATATATATATATATATATATATATATATTAATTTATATATTTATATATAGGGTATCCCAGAACTCAACGTCAAGCCCAGACAAAGTGACTCAATGCCCAAGTACAACCTAAGGCTTTGGTGAACTTCTAACCATTTTTCGGGTATTTTGGTTAATTTTTACTAATTTTGTTCATTCAAATTTTGGAACCAAAACCGTAAATAATATGTCTAACACCACGGTCAAAAATATTGGCACATTTGCCCCAAGTTTTCCAGAATTTACACATTTTGTCAAACCTTGAACTCATACTTCTCTAAACTCGTCGACTTTCAAAAGCACTCCTTTAAAAAAATTGTACTAAATTGTTTTGGCAAAATTTATGAAAATTTTAAGAATCTAATCAGGATTGTAAAATGGTACATAATGTGTTAGGCTCTTATTAAAAAAATGGGCAAATAAAATAAAACAAGACAAAAATGATATTGTTGTTACATTTCTTTGCTTACCTTGAATTATTGTCGATAAAATTTATTTTTGTATAAAATTTCACTAAAAATGTCAAACAAAAACAACCCTTAAATATTTTTGGCGTTTCCAAACAAAAACAAAACATGAATGCAAATTGTTTGATCGATAATTCGACAGAGTTGTCTTTTATATATGTATGTATGTATATGTATATATATATATATATATATATATATATATATATATATATATAAATGGTTTTATTTTCATATAAAGGATTAAAATTCCGTATAATTTTCTTACAAGATTGATATTAATTCTTATCAAATTCTTGACTTGACTGATTTTTATGAAATTTTATAAAAACATTCAGAGACTTTTGTTAATTTTTCTTGACCAAATTTTTGAAAATTCATTTTCATATGTGCAGGATTTTTACAAGATTGACGTTAATTCTTATCAAATTCTTGGCTTGACCAATTTTTATGAAATTTTATAAAAACATTTAGTTTTTAATTTTTTTTTTTTGACCAAATTTTTGGATAATATTTTTATATGTTGAATTAAAAATTTATAAAAGAATCTTAGAAGATTGATATAATAAATTCTTATAAAATTTATAAAATATTTAGACTCTTTGTCACTAACATTCTACAACTTGCCAGTAGGCAATTCGATCTTAATTTCATCGATATTCGATTAAATATTTCCACAATGACAACACATCACGAAAACAAAAATAAAATGGTCAAAATATTTTAATTTTTATTTAATAGCTTCTCGATGTTTTTTGCTCGTTAGTAGAATCCCTTTTTAATTATCGATCTATTTATCATTTTTCTCGTCAGTAGAGTTCATTTTTTATGAAATATCTTGTATTTCAGTTTGCTAGTCAGTAGAGTCCCTGTTCAAATATTTTTTTACATTTTGCTCAGTAGAGTCCCTTTTCTATTTATTGTCTTATGTTTTAGTCTGCTCGTAAGTAGAGTCCCTTTTCATTTTTTTTTTAAATTTTGCTCG